CCGTCCCGGGCGCGCTGCTGGCCGCCGGCTCTCTCGGCCTCGCGCGCCCCGCGGGAGGAGCCGCCGGCGGCCGTGACGCGGCAGGGAGGAAACGCCGGCGCCCGGCGGCCCTGCGGGAAGGAGGAAGCGCGAGGCGTCCGGCTCGGCGCCCGCCGCGCGGGGAGGCAGCGCGCGGAGCAGGTAGGTGCGGGCGGCCGGAGGGTCCGCGCGCGGCCGGGCCGCGGTCGGGACCCGGGGCGGGGCGAGGGCGGCCCGGGCCTCGCCTGCTGCCTCTCCTCGGCGCTAATGTGACTTTCTCGGGCCCCCGGAAATCTCGGAGCTGATCGGCCGGCCCCGACTCTCCAGAGTTAGTGGGCTTTGTTTCCTCGGCGTGAATTCGGATCTGCTTTGAGATTCCTAAACACCCGTGGTGACGGGGGATGGACACTGTGAACCCCTGCTCAGCCCCTGAGCCCAGAGAAGCCGGGAACGCCCATTCTGGGAGACGCCACGTGAGGTTGAAAGTGGGTTCGGGTCATCTTCGAGGGCCGGGATGCAGGCAGCCTCAGGATCTGGGTGGACAGGAATCTTTAACCTGTTGCTTCCGGACCTGGCCCATGAGACTTTAATGCCTTGTTACTTTTAAGTTCTCTGATTTGAACCCTTTCCGGCTCCAAGAGAATCAGGGTCTGTTAACTTCACAGTTTTAGCATTGGTGTACCTTCTAACTTTGAGATGTTTGGATTTTGGCATTTTTAGTGATGGTTAGAAAGATAGAAAAGAGAAAGGATTAATCTTTTGAAACTCAAAGTCCTTCATTGAATTTTGCAGTGACTTCTGAACCACAATTTCAAACCTGCACAAGATTATATAGGGCGCATTTGAGATGCAAGAACAAATACAGTGCGCTCCAATTTCTAAATCTTGGTGATTTAGAAATCACCTTCTCTAAAGGTGAAGAATAAACTGTTGTGTACTTTGATTCTCTTCCTTCTCACTAGGTTGAGACTTCACCCAACCAAATTTGGAGAGTACTTTGTGTTTGTTTGCTTAACACTTAAGTAGCTCTTACTATGTACTGGACTTTTTGTAAGTACTTTATAAATGTTAACTCAAAATATAAAATTACAGCGGTTCTAGAATGAAGAGGCTGTGCTTACTTTAGTTCCCACAATGTCATTGCACGAGCTAGAGACAGAGGAAGTTTCAGCGCATTTTAGGACTGAGGGAGCCTTCTGTCTCCCTTGTCTAACACTCCTGAGAAGACAGGCCCCTGTTCCTGCATTTCTCTGGGGGAAGGGAGTCTGGATCTCAGGGAATTCGACCAGTTCCAAGCAGGTCTCCACCAGATCCTGAGCAGCTTCTGTAAAATGGTCTCTCTTATCCGCCATTGTGCCTATCCGATAATTCTGGAAAGACCAGAACTTCCCCCTTTTTTCAACTGCCACTGACTGCGTTAAGCCTAATTTTGTTTTAAAAAGGAGCTTTGTTCTTAATTTGTTCAACATTATTCATATGACATAGCTTAGATTTGAGGGTCAGATTGAATTTGAATTGTACTATGAAATAGAATAGAACATTTTTTGTGTATCGTTGCAGGAGCTAGAAACATACTACTAAATAATGTTTTGTAAGTGTACTGCTGTTTGTTCCTGGCAACACTGAATTGGTAGGTCAGCCTCTCAGGTGTCCACTTTGTGATCTGCAGGTAGATAGAATACTTTTTCAGAATAAAGTGCCCTTTTCAAATGAGCATTTTGGCAGATGACCAGATTAATAGAGACCTGAAATAGTGAATAAGATAAACATGGTTCTTAGGATGATGATGGATATAATGTCGAAATCTGCACATCATATTAACTTTCTTCCTGTCTCTCTTCCTCCTTCCCTCTCTCTCTCTTTTTTTCTCTCTCTCATATATTTAAATTTCCAGGGAGATGATTAAATGAGCTGGTTTAAGTCTTATTTAATAGGGTCATAAAGTGTCTCTTGAAGCAGGAAGGCCAATATTTCTGTAATATAATGTATGCCACAACAGACATTAGTGTCATTCATTAATTCAGACTGGTGAAACCTAGCATTGTCATGGTTTACAAAGTGCTTCCAAATATACTCATCTGCTCTTCAGAGAGACCTTGTGAGGTTGGTCTCTCAATCATTTTTTTAATTCCCATTTTTACAGATAAAGAAACTGAGGCATAGAAATGTTAAAGTGCTTTAGCCAGAATTACACAGCAAATGCGAGGAAGAGCTTGAATAGAGAGTGTTGTGGGGCGGCACCTGGCACATGCAGTTGTATGGTAGACATTTGTGGAATGAATGACTCCAAATGACTTCAGATATCTTGCTCTTTCAAAAATCTCTCTCAAAATACCATAGTAATTGATTTGTGCCTAATCCAATGTCTGTCTTAATTTTGAACAATATCAGATAAAACATATATATATTTTCTGAGACAGAGTCTCACTTTATCACCCTCGGTAGAGTGCTGTGACGTCACAGCTCATAGCAACCTCCAACTCCTGGGCTTAGGCGATTCTCTTCCCTCCCGATAGCTGGGACTACAGGTGCCCGCCACAATGCCCAGCTATTTCTTGTTGCAGTTTGGCTGGAGCAGGGTTCAAACCCACCACCCTCTGTATATGGGGCCCGTGCCCTACCCACTGAGCCACAGGTGTCGCCCATAAAACATATTTTCTACAAAAAGGATGGGCATGCCCTTTGGATTTATTTCTTAGGATTTGTCATCTCTGGTTTTTGAAACTGAATATAGGTTGATTATTTCTTTCCCCTCTCAAATATCTTACCTTTTTTCCCTAATTTTGAGATTATGGATTAGATACATGATGTTTGTGTTGACAACTTTCTTACCTCTCTATGCTTAGATTTATGATCAAGTTTGATCATAGGTATTACATTGTTTTTTGAAGTGTCTGATGTAACTGTGTGGTTTTTTTGTTTTTTTTTTAGAGACAGAGTCTCACTTTATCACCCTTGGTAAAATGCTGTGGCATCACAGCTCACAGCAATCTCCAACTCCTGGGCTTAGGCGATTCTCTTGCCTCAGTCTCCCAAGTAGCTGGGATCACAGGCGCCTACCACAATGCCTGGCTATTTTTTGTTGCAGTTTGGCCAGGGCGGGGTTCAAACCCACCACAGGGTATATAGGACTGGCACCCTACCCACTGAGCCACAAGCGCTCCCCAACTATGTTTTTTTTTAAATGTTGCAACTACCTTAGCATAAAGGGTCTTTAAAAAAACAAACAAAAAAATCCTCAATTATTTTTATTCTTTTTTTGAGACAGAGCCTCAAGCTATTGCCCTGGATAGAGTGCGATGGCATCACAGCTCACAGCAACCTCCAACTCTTGGCCTTAAGTGATTCCCTTGTCATTCACCTCCCAAGTAGCTGGGCCTACAGGCACCCACCACAACACCTGGCTATTTTTTGGTTGTAGCCATCATTGTTGTTTAGCAGGACCTAGGCTGGATTCGAACCTGCCAGCTCAGGTGTATATGGCTGGCGCCTTAGCTGCTTGAGCCATAGGCGCCAAGCCAACTCTTTTTATTCTTTAAGCATAATTCTCTGTATCCTATAGTATGTGATTTCCAGATGGATAACCTTCAGTTAGAAAGGAAAATATGGTCATTACCTGGTGGGAGGAATTGAAAAGGGCTACCAGGGAGAAATGAAAGATGAAATGGCCTTTCCTGTGAGGTATCTTAGGTGGTAAGAAACCAGCCCATAGCGAAGCTAGATTGAGTCATCTGCCTGTCAACATTCTTCTGTGTGGGAGCGGAACAAGATACTTTTGAAACCTGCCTTGTTTCAGAAACCACTTTACCTTTTCCAATCCTCATGTTTTCTCTCTCTTTTTTAATTCATGTAAATTCCTGACTAAACTGCTGATTCATGAAACCCAAATTATGTAACATGTTATTCCTGACAGAAACAGCTCCCCCATTATTTTAAGAGACTATGTCTCTATTTTCCTTTACCTAGCCCATTCTTTTTTTTTTTTTTTTTTTTTTAGACAGGGCCTTAAGCTGTCCCCCTGGTACAGTGCTATGGCATCACAGCTCACAGCAACCTCCAACTCCTGGGCTCAAGCAAGTCTCCTGCCTCAGCCTCCCAAGTACCTGGGACTACAGGCGCCCACCACAACGCCCAGCTATTTTTTGGTTGCAGCCATTATTGTTGTTTGGCTGGCCAGGGCTGGATTAGAACCCGCCACCTTAGGTGTATGTGCCTGGCGCCTTAGCTGCTTCAGCCACAGGCGCCGAGCCACCTAGTTCATTCTTTATGATGGAGCCTTTGCTCTCATTTCACTTCCCACTCCCCTGTTTCATGCTGAAAAGTGGTAATCTAAGAAGTGCCAATTCCACATCTTGTTCATGTCAAAGTAGTTTTCAATTAGGACTAGCTTTGAGCTGTCATTGGCGAGGAAGACAATGCAGAAATCACACCTTATAGGCCAATTCAAAGCACCATTCAGGAAAAAAAAAAACACTTGGGGCGTTGCCTGTAGCTCAAAAGGGTAAGGTGCCAGCCCCATATGCTGGAGGTGATGGATTCAAACCCAGCCCCAGCCAAAAAATGAAAAAAACCCCAAACCAACCAACCAACCAACCAACCAACCACATGGGTGGCACCTGTAGCTCAATGAGTAGGGCACCTGCCCCATATACCAAGGGTGGTGGGTTCCAACCTAGCCCCGGCCAAACTGCAACAAAAAAATAGCAGAGCTTTGTGGCGGGCACCTATAGTCCCAGCTACTTGGGAGGCTGAGGCAAGAGAATCACCTAACCTCAGGAGTTGGAGGTTGCTGTGAGCTGTGATGCCATGGCACTCTACCGAGGTGATAAAGGGAGACTCTGTCTCAAAAAAAAAAGGCTAGAGTGCTGTGCCATCACAGTTCATAGCTCTGTCTCAAAAAAAAAAAGAAAAAGGCACCATGCAATAAAACTACATTACCTATCTGAACCTGTGCCTAAGGGTTTTCACAAGGAATTAGGGTAGCGTGTGATATCCTTGCTGAGACAGGATTTCCTTGTGCCCAAGCTAGTCTCAAACTCCTGGCCTCCCACCTTGGCCTCAGAAAAGTGCTGCGATTATAGGCATAAGCCACCCACCAAGCTGGGCCCTTTTTTATTTAACACTATTATCACACTTCTACAGATCTACATCATTAGTTTTGG